TTTTTCCTGGTACTGGAAATAGAACTCAGGACCTTCTGCTTGCCAGGCAGGCACTTATGTAGCCGAGCTATTTCCCTGGTCCTGAATTTAAGATCTTGCCCATGAGCTGGACTGAAGTTTATCTTTGACTATGAAAATAAGAAGGTAATTTAAATGTTTCTTATGTAAGTTTTTTTATTAGTACATGTTTGCAGTACATAACGATTACGTTCATTATGTGGGGGTAGGTACAGGCACGGAACACATTTTAATTCCTTTCACTACCTCTTCACCTCCTTTCTCTCATCCCCCCACTTCGTGGTATACCTCCTACTTGCAAAAATTCTGTTTCCTATTGTCTGTCTGATAGAAAATGAAAAGTCTGTGAAAGTGTAACTAAGCTGAAGGGTAATCAAACTTTTGCAACAAAGGTGACTCACTCACTACAAATGTGAATTACAGAAACTTACAAAATAGGCTGTTTCCTTATGGGGCACCATTATTTTGGCCTTACCAATCAATACTTGGAAAGTTATTATAACGAGCTGGAAATAATAAAACTGCATTTTGCAAAATTGCATTCTCTGAAAGTGTTCTATTGTTTTCTCTTTTCTTTCTTCCAGATGAATTTTACATCTATCTGTTTTGTGACTTGAAACGAATATGATTGAAACTTTTTACTTACTTTCCCTACAGTTAGAGGCAATATTGTGCCCCCCCCCCCATGTGTCATTGAGCCAGTTGCATTAGAAGTATTCAGGGGAGCTTTGAAAAATCTAAAGTCTGCACTGGCTTGGGTAGAGCCCAGACGAATGCACTTTAGTAGTGCTCTTCGTCTGATCCTGACTGTGCAATGGATTCTGGGAACTGCCATCTCTAGGACGGCATCACTGCATTCTGCTGTCCTCCAATGGAGCTAGCCTCTCCTTACATCACTGGGTTGGATCCCTGTAGAGTCTTCCAATTAAACCTCTTGGCACAGACACTGCTCCTTTTCTTTCCTGCCCTCGGGGTAAGAGAACACTCACTGGCGTAGGGCACAGTCAGGAGATGAGACCCTATTCTCCTCTGCCGAGTTTCAGCTGACATCTCTGAGCCACCTATGTTTTTGTTCTAGCAACAGGCTGTGACTTTCTGTTCTCGTAAGTGTACCAGGTTCTTAAGCTCCCATAACTTTGTAGATGCTGTTTACTCTGTCAGGAAGAGCATTTCTTCATGTTCACGTGCCTCCCCTCTGCTCCCCCCCCAACTTACTGTCCAGACAAACAAAAGCATAGACAAACAAATAGCACAGAACCCTGTGCTATTCCATGCTTTCATAGAATCCAGTGTGCCAACCCTTGTAAGATTGCGCTCTGATAAGGATTTTCATTTTGTACCCTCCCCGAGGTAAAGAGCTTGTGTTGTGGTATGTGTAGCACTTAGCTCAGAGCTGGAGCGCAGTAGGCACTCAGTTGGTACATTTTTTAAAGGAATGAAAGAATGACCAATGGTAACCAGAAGCTTTTTTGGGGCACTGAAAAGCTGGCTTAGTGATGTTAAAACGGGCACTCAGTAGCATACTAGAAATAAGAAAATGGCTCTGCTAATATTATGCCATAAACTTTGTTCTGTTTTCTGCAGGAAACATTACAGTTCTTCTGATAGTATCCTAAACTTTGTTTTAGTGTATGCATATAAACATTACTTTTTAAAAACATATTAAGCAGAATTTGACAATCATGATGGCAAGTGCCTACGATCCCAGCACTTGGGAGGCTGTAGCAGAATGATCCCAGTGAGTTTAAAGCCACCCCGGGATATACAGTGTATTCAAGGCCAGCCGAAACTACAGAGAAACACTGTCTCAAAAAATCAGAAAAGAAAAAAAGTGAGAAAAAATTAATGAAAGTATATCTAAACTTATAAAAAGACTGATGACCTTTTATTTGTTTATTTATTTATTACTTATTTTTTTGTGGAACCGGGGATTGAACTCAGGCCCTTGTGCTTGCTAGGGAAGCACTTATTCCAGTGAGCCATCTCCCGGCCAACATTTTATTTTTGATTGCCTGGATATTACACATATCTAACATGTTAAATTAATGCTATACTTTAAATGAACAGATTGTGTTATTAATACACACGTACTACTAATAAGTACATGTTAACTGGAACAAAAGAGAGGTTATAAGGAGTGGAACAAATAGATGGCGAACATGACATGTGCAGGTCATGGTAGGCATGGAGAGTTTCATTTGGTGATCTTAAGTACTGGCTTCATATTTTTATCTTCTCATGATGAAGATTTTAATTAACAAATTTGAAAGAGGCATATAATCAAATTTGTGTATTCCCAAAATAGAGAGGTAGAGCAAAGATGACAGTTGATTACAATTTTCAATAAAACATTCTTGAGTCCTAGCCCAGGTCCGGTGAGTGTGCGGAGAGTTTCCTGCTACCCTGCGCCGGCGGGACCAGTCCCGGCCCAGGCGCAGCGTGGGCCGGACCCTCT